TTGGTACCCATGAAAATAAATCCAGAGTACATGAAAACCAAACAAAGACACATCTAGTTTCCTTCTGATGCTGAAAATTTCAAGAGTAATATGAGTTATGATTGCCAATGAGACAAGTGATGTGGATGTAAGTAAAAGTATTTTACCAGCATTCTCTCATTTAAAACTTTGTATGTATATATATATATATATATATACAAGTCTAAATTGAAAACAACGTTCAAACCTATGATTGCGTTGGATAAAAACCGCAATTTTTATACGTGTCCATGCAAAACAAATTTCTTGTTAGAGGGGTCTAAATACAGCACAAACAACGTTTTCCAAAAGACCAAAAATGTGAAAAAGTATATTTTAACAAAACGCATTTGACTAACAGGTTGAACAACAAATGTTCTTAAACCCTGCTGACTGCCGTTGGCGATTGCCAAATAAACGGATCACTGATGTGATAAATGGATCTTAATTATAAATTTAATACTAAACAGAAAACAATAAACTTGCAGAAAAGATGGTATACCGCAAACAAAAGGTGCAAAGGTTTTTGTACACCATATCCGGATTTCAACAATTAATGTCTCTTCAGTGATGTTAGGAATCGAAACGGTATTTGGAAAGCCATACAATTTACCTCTATATATATATATAAATAACAGATGTAGTGGACAAGAAACATGTAATAACTAAAACACCTAACTCATACAAAAAGGGAGAAGTCAATAAAAACTGACAAAACCAAACGCTCGACTATATCAACTAATGGAACGACTGGAAAACAAATGTCATATTCCTGTCTTGATACAGGCATTTGCCAAAAATGATGGGAATAAAACTGTGAGACAGCCATCCAACAATTAGACCTCTACTGTAAACCATAGTGTTTCTTTTAATGGACAAACACCAAATCTATAGCTTACTTACCTGCATTTGTACAAAACTTGTACAGTTCTAATAAAAAACAATAAAAATTCATGTATGTATGTTTATTTATAATATTCATGATTTTTTTTTTTTAAAATGACACACAATTGATGATGCATGATTCAGCAAGCTGTATTTCATTAAATACAGAAACCCTAGCACTCCAAAACTTACCCAAGCCACACCAAATGAATTTTTAGGTCTTTAGATTTTTGTAAGATTAAATAAGGTTACAGTTCCAATTTTTATAATTATGGCAGATGAAGAGGATGTAATATATGAATTATTAATGTATTCAAATTACATTCAGAGACATAAGTTAAAGGAAGGAGTCGCAACTTTGATTTCATATGTGGAATATATGGGGCAAGAAGGAGGCAGATAGATTTGTCTTTGAAAATTGTACAGAACTGAAGTTGTAAAATCTAAAAAAAAAAAAAAAAAAAAAGAGTTAGTTTGGTGTGACCTTTATATATAAAATACATTTGTGAATACATTGAACGGCAACCATATTGAGATTCTTAGGTACACGAGTAGCTGGAAGTATGTAAAACACAAAAATGTTCATGTTACCCTATGTGCTCAACAATTTACACCAAAACTTCTACAACTGTTAACAAATTTTCTCGCAGTTCAAATTAAATTTCACATACAGCTATTCGAACATATGTATATGTACATATATATATATGTATATTATATATGATAAGATATAAATTTGGCAAAGGTGAAACAGTTTGCTGGTAATTATTAAAATAACATGAGTACTGCCAAGAAATTTTACTTGCAAACATTTCTTCATAAAATTGATATAGAATTGACCACATGCAAGAAAATTAGTTAAAACATGATTTTGGTTGTAAGGCATTAAGCACACCATCATTACACACACACAGACTTTCACTATTGCTACACATTTAAATGTTGTGCAATTTCTGTATACAATTTTTTCTTAAATTATTACCACTTGCCAAAGTCATCAAAATGATAACACTGTTACAAGATCTGATTTTGCACCTCAATGATAAATCTGTGTGTTTTTTTAAAGGCACAATCTAAAATTATATCTAAATATACTTCATATCAAAATTTCAGATGATCTTGAAAATAAGATCAATAAACTAACTACTGTGGATTCATTGTTATTCATTGGATACCAATTTTAGTTTATTTTATGGTCAAAGGTGAACCACGAAATTAAAATTTCAATGAAGTGCAAATTTTCTATGATGTTTGTATGCAGACTTCGCAAAATCAAATATCCATGAAAATACACCCATGAAATGAATCCACAGTATTCTGCAAATAAATATTTCAAACACACATCTACAGGAAATATCCTTCTATCTTCACATTCTATTTATAAACATACTCATTTCAACTATAATATTTAATACGAGTATTTGAAAAAAGAAAGTAGTGCTATCAAGTTAGTATATTTAAGGTTCATCCAATGTAAAAAAAAAAAATGGATTTGAATCGACTCTTTACAAGATGGATCCAGGATTTTTAAAAGGGGGAGGTGTAATTCATTATAATTAAATAAAAACTGCTGATTTTATACTTAAAATTTATATATATTGTGAAGAAACATCGGATTTTTATTTTTCTGGATGGGCCTATGCCCTTTATGATCCCCTCTCCTAGATCCACCACGGTTTCATATCATATCTAAGTTTTGTGTCCTGCAAATATATACTTTATATTCTTATGTTGTGCCAACATACAATTCAGTAAATGGAAATGAGATACAACCATGTTTTTGATACATAAAAACTAACCGTATGTATTGATCAATAAAGGCCAATATAAAATAATCCTTTAATATTCATCAATCTGTACCCAGGCAAATTTTCATTTTACTTTTTACTTTTTTCTTGTATAATAATGAACATTTCCTGGTTGAAAATGAAGTTTTACATTTTAAAATAATCAGTTTCCTGGTTATAAATGAACATTTTCTTCAAAGAGGCAAAAATATGAAATAAATAAGTTTATATGTGTGGAGATGAGATTCAAATAATTATTTTATTATGGCCTTAGTGAAGAAATGATAAAATTTCATTCAAATATTTACAATTCATTTAATTACATGAATACACAAAAGACATGGTATGAACACCAGATGTAATATACTGCATAAATACACAACTGTTCCCAAGCCAAATGTTTTTTTAACATGCTAATGCATGAAAATGGTGAGAAATGATATTGGGATGAAAGACTAGAATTTGATACCTAATATTAATGCCCAAATAAAATGAGCAATATTTTGTGTAAAAAGTTCATATGTTTTTTTAATTTATTCATACGTATTTAAATATGGCAGTTATCCATTAGTTTCTACATGTTAATTCACATTGGCTTCAAATCGCAAAGTTTCAAACTTAGCACAAATGTCAATTGTACAAACATGTCTCATTTTGAAAGTTTATTCCTAACAAAAAATGGCAGTTCAATTATTTTTATCTGCTTCAGAGGTAGGTATATTCAGACTGTATTAAATAAATAACAACAAGACATAAATAGTAAACAACAAATTATATACATTACTGTAAACTAAAGAAATTGTGTAATCTCATATTTAAAATGTAATACATGTTGTATCAAGGGAAGACACTTTTTAAATAAAGGGAACAACCAAATAAGCCATTATTAATAAAGTTTATATTATGTATTAATGGAATTGCCCTTACTACCAAATAATATGAAAATGAAATTTTTAAAACAAGTCCCATAACTCATGAGTTTTAACAAAATATGATGTTCCCTCCATTTATTAATTGAAATTTTCTATTCTTTGAATACTTAATACATTGAAATATTTCAGAGGTATGGATGTATAAAAAAAAAGTTTTGGGGATATAAAATGTGAAAATTATAGGAACCAAGTTCGATAAATACAAGCCTCTTTTAAATGTATGTACACCTCGACTTAGTATATTTTCCACACAATTTTTTCAGTTTACAGTACTCAAAATACATTGGCTAACAATACATTTCTTGTAAAATATAACACTTGAAGTCCTTCATTAACAAGTTCTAACAGTATTGATAAAATACTTGTAATAGTCATAGAATTAGTGCAAAATCAAGCAACTCAAATAAAGCAAAGATGTCAAGATCTAACTCATTGAAAAAAGCAAAGATGTCAGATCTGACTCATATTTTTCCAGGCTTTTATTAATTTCTATAATATAAATGTAAATTCAGAAATTTTCTATATAAAAATAAGGAGATGAGGTATGATTGCCAATAAGACAACTATCCATCAAAGTTTAAATAAAGTGGATGTAAGCAATTATAGGCAACTGTACGGCCTTCAACAATGAGAAATTGCATTTATTTCTGTAATTATAGAACAACGGACAAAAATGCGAGATTATTTATTGCAATTTCTGTAAATGTTGCATACAAATAATACTTTCATTAATTAAAATGCAAACTTTTATTTTTGCAAAACCAATCCAATTGCAATTTTCGCAATAATAAAAACATAGTTGCTGTAAATTCAGAATTTTTTGCTTACTTTACAGAACAATTGGTATATTGAATCATACTAACAAAAAGGTTTGCAGATAACTTACAACACAAAATTTACATCTTGTCGATTGCATTTCTTAATTGGGATTAGTTTTCAGTTAATGCAAAATGTCACTCATTTTTGCATGTTATACAATTCATTTGTAATAAAATGAACCGAATTCAGAATTTTACAATCACAATAATAATTAAATAATTAACATCTAAAAGTTTTCTATTAAATTCAACTAAAGGCAAAACGAAAACTATAGAAAAAACACAAGAGATTCAAATAACAATTGATCTAAAAATACTAAAATTCTATTAATCTCAAAAATGGCTATATTATAAATATATTGCATTTTAAAGATGCATAAAAGTGCTAAATGAATGAATTTCTATAATGGTATGATTGATAATCCTGTGGTAACAAGGATAGCGGACAACTATAATAAATATATAAAAATGATAAAGCTTAGCAAAACATACCCTGTGCAAAAAATACAATGCAATGATTTTTTTTTAAATATAACAAAAAAATTACATTTCAACTGAGCTTCAATGAATTTTTTAATATATGAAATATTTCAACTGAGCTTCAACGATTTTTTTTAATATATGTAACATTTCAACTGAGCAATATCAATGTAGAGTAGCAACAGTTTTTCATGAAATTATAAAAAAAAAAATTTTTTGCAAATAATATCTCAATAAACAATGTTTTACAATCAGGAACATTTTAACATGCCTTATAACAGAATATCATAATTGTATCTTATTTTTTTTATACAGTTTAACCGTACAATAATTGATATTTTTATGAGCAAAATTTAGAGTCTGTCATGGAAGAATGAAGACTATTTGCCTGAATTGCAGTCTTTCATCAACTTTTACACCAAATTTTAAAACACCTTTGACTTATCTATTTTTTCAATCACAGAAACTCTTATGTAATAACAAGTAGCAAAAAGAAGACAATAGATTTTTACCAGATAATAAAATTTCAATGCTATTTTTAGAGTGATACTTGTTTGAACACCACTTTAAATACACAAATATAAATGCAGTCGAAACGTTTGAGTGAGACAACTGCCAAAGAAAATTTGAGATTACAGGAATTTTGAAATCTCGGCAGTTGATTTGTTTAATGGGACAGACTTTTTACTTAGAAATATTTGAAATAGCGTTGATCAGTTGTAAATGTTTTATGTTCTCAAAATACTTTTTTTCTAACAAGATCATGCATTTTATAAATTTTATACATTAATTTCTATTTTATTAATTCCAAATATTCAAGATACAGGTCTTGCTACTTGTAAAAAAATAGCTTAAGATGTGAGCACCATGTGTTTTATAAAATGTTAATACAAACCATTGGTAATGATATATAAATATTAATGAAAAAAATAATGTACAATATGTCCTATTGCATTGCATTCCAATTTTATTGGCTAGGCTTTGACATTTTCAAAATTGAAAAAAAAAGTTAAAATCAAATGTAAATGATATATAAATTAAACTTAAAATATTTCTCCAAATGTATTATTCAAATATTGTATACATAGATATATATATAAGAATTGACATAAAATAACATCTTTTGTCAAAAGTTATTTCTTATGCTAGTTAGCAGTCCTTTAAATGGACCATTTCATAACAACACATTTTTATCAATGATTTCTTCAATAGCTCAGCCTAAGCAGTTAATATTTATTAAAAATTTAATAAAATAAATGCATCATAATAAATAAAACATGAAAAAAATTAATACAAAAATGTATTAATTTTGGCTAATAGTATAAGCTGCTTTCAGTGAAAAAACAAAACAATAGAGATTTGAAAAATAGCAGTACATATTGTTTTTAAAAAGATTGCTTCTGCAAAAATAAATATTTCAATAACAGACAATTTATAACAAAAAAGAAATGGCAATTATTTTGATCTCTAGATTTTCTTTAGTCTTAACTGTCCTTGACCTCTGTTTCTTGTGCCACTACATTACAACATTTCTGTCCTAGTATAGTACAACTAGCTGAAAATTGAGAAAGACAAAATATTATTAGTATTATTGATTATTTGTGTAAAAACTATAATGAACTATTTGTTTATTTAAAGTTTCTTAAAAAACCCAAGACTATTACCATGTAAGGACTTGTTGCCACATGTAATGTATTGAGAGTTGCCACATGTAAATGTAATTGATTGAGAGTAGCCACATGTAACTGATTGAGAAAACTTTCATGTGATTAATTGAGAGTTGCCACATGTAATTGATAGAGAGAACCCACATGTAATTGATTAAGAGTTGCCACATGTAATTGATTAAGAGTTGCTATGTGTAATTAATTGAGAGTTGCTATATGTAATTGATTGTGAGTTGCCACATATAATTGCCAATTGAGCGTTTCCATATGTTATTAATTGAGATACATTTATTTATCTCATTTAAATTACATTTCATATCAACACAGAAAATGAGCTAATAAAACAATAAAAGAAACAACTAAATGAATTGTGAAAATTGATCCATCTACCATGTAGTTTAGAAAATAACAGAGAAACTGAGGAAGGCCATAACCCGAATAATTCAGTTGTTATATTCCACTGCTCTACAATGGCTACATTAACGCCTGAAGGACTTGTCAATAAAAAATCGTCAAATAATCATTCGGAATTAGCTCGGGATTTACCTATCTCGATAACATTGAGCTATTAGCTGATTGGCTCTCTTTCTCAGAGAGCACCAATCAAAATCCTGGATTCGCGACACTTTTTATTGTATAAAGAATTTAGGCCCTCGCGAGTGGGAGAGTCGATCACGGGGAGGGACTGAATTATTCGGGTTAGGAAGGCCACTGGTCAAAAAGTCTCGTAAATGGTTTATTCACTACAATAATATAAAAAGAAGTAAAACAGTGGTTCTGAAAAATATTCAGTTTATTTAAAGTGATTTTCTAAGTTGAGAAAAAATAAGAAGTAAACTTTAAACCTACTAAAAATTGTAATGGAAATTATGAACAATAGGAGTATTAATAGGTATAAAATACTTTGTTATTCTTTTTGTATACTGACCAATGAATTGTCTGACAGACTTGGGTTTACTCTTCCACTTGACACCAAGAACATAAACTGGTAACCCAGACAGAACCATAAGTAGAGCCATACCAGTCTGTTCAGTAGCAGCATATAAAGGTACCACCAATAAAAATATAACACACAGCAGGAAGGTTATTGGAATAACCAGGTTGAACTGAAATATAAACATACATTCTATATTATTAACAGTAGAGTCAATAAACTAAAAGTAGCCTGTTATCCCTGGGTTTTTTTTATCTTTCATCAAAATTAATGCTACACAAAGACAACAACATCGTAGATTACTGCAAGGAAAATCTTTATTATGGTCTACATGTTTCGCCACTTACGGTGGCGTCTTCAGGACAATTTAAACATAGAAAACAAATACTGAAGTACATAAAATGCGGTGCATATGGGGTTACAAAGGTTAACAAGACGTAACGTCACAATAATTGATTTGACAACGTTAAAATGAAAGTGAAAGTAAAAGTTAGAAGGTGTTGGTTCACTCGATGCAACCTTTCATCAAAATTGTTTAAATAAGAATTTAATTTTAAGTAACACTTGACAACCAAAACTTTTGTCAGCTGCATTAAAAGTATCTGTGTTTGGGATTTTTGACAATGAAATCAATATCATACATTTATATTACAAGTACTAACTTTTTTAGTCAGTCCCTAAGAGCATCATTCATTTGATAATCATTGTTTTGGCAATGCCATGATTTAAACAATATTTTGCTGATATCTTATTACCAGTACTGTGAATTCATTATTATTCGTAAGGTACCAATTTTCATGGGTACAGATTTACCACAAATTTAAATGTTCAATGAAGTGTAAATTTCCCATAGGATAGTATGCAAATTTTGTCAAAACCTTGAAATCAAGTATAAATCAAAATATAACTAATCTTCAACCCGCGAAAATTGGTAACCATGAAAATAAATGAATCCACAGCAAATTATATATGTGATTGTACTCAAAATTTGCCATTCCCAAAGGACATTGAATGATTTTAAATGTTTTTATTGTTTTAATAAGAACCTATTTTGTAATGATGCTCTATTTCCTTCATAAACTGTTGAATAAAGCTTATGGTATTCCGGATTCACAACTTGGTTGCATAAATGCTTGAATTAAATGTAATGCAATGAGGCTCTCTATGGAAAAGTTGAATGCAACTGTTTTTATCAAAACATTTATGACTTTCCTGTTCCCATTTGTTCCAGATACAAAAATTCACCAGGAGAATTTCTGATGCAATTTTATCTAGAAAAGTGCTTTGAAAGCAGTGAAATTAAGTAAGTTTTTATTTACAAGTCAAAATACTCATTTTGATTTAAATGTTTCATAATTTAAAATACCTTTATAGGACGATACATTTCAGGTCTGGCATAACGAAGGTATAGTAATGCTGCTATAGACATGCCAACAGATAGCCATTGAACAAAACTCATGTAGTTAATAAGGAAAAAGACATCATCGGTTATCAACATCAGTATAGAAAGTCCTCCCTGGAAAGTGCAAATGTGAAAAAAGTAATAAGGCTAAAATCTGTACACTACATCTTTGATCTCAGTTGCCAAATTTAAAAAAAAATTTATATCCCTATTGCTTTCATGTGAAAATCAGTGCATCACTGCAAACTGAACACTATACAGTCAAATTTTGATGTAATGATTGAAACTTCTGTGCTTTTTTTGTTGTTTTTTTAGCACAATTTCATAACCTTTAGTAGATCGCATCCACAGTGAAATCTGTATAAACAAAAAATCTCCCTCAGTTGCCGCCCGACATATCACTTCATCCAATAAACAACAAACACCAGTTTAATAGGATCACAATAATGTTATGTTTAAAAGAGTTTAACTGTGTAAAAAGTCAGTAGTTATGAAAAGAAACCAGTAGGTTATAGTAGATTTTTCATAGAAAAATTTAACTCAATTTCAATTTCAGTTTAAACACATAGTATAATTCTAAATTCATACCGTGAACAACATGGCCGGCATAGGTGTCCTTCTGTTAACCTGGATCATAGACAAGAAATCGGGAAGATGTCCTTCTCTAGCTCCAACAAAGAATAATCTGCAAATGCATGTAGTTTTCAATAAATAGTGGTTACCATCAAGAAGGAAAACATGTAAAAAGAATATAAACTGTTGAAAGCAGAAGGGTTACATTTATCTTTTTCACAGTTTGTATATTCCATGGGGTTTACTTTTCCTATATAGTCACATCTTTGTAAAAGAAATTTAGTTCATTTGTATCAAAATAAGAAGATGTGGTATGACTGATTACCAACACGACAACTTTCAACCAGAGACCAAATGGCATAAAAGTTTGCAACTAGTACTGGGTTCTCTTTTTCAAGATGTCAGGAAAATATTTAAATTATGGTTTGAAAGCCAATACATGTATTATAAAATTAAAAGAACATTTATAATGATGTTTCATAACGATTCCAGCATTTTTATTGACAATCAAATGGTGTTTTATGTGCCAATAAAACGCAGTGCACATGACTGCACATGCTCCCAATGACAACAGTATACACTAACAATGTGTATGAATAAAACAATTCTGAGTTTTAGTATTAAAAAGAAATAATAAGAATTGATTGTTTTTTTTTTGTTTTTGTTTTTTTTTAATAGGGTTACTAAAGGCATTGACTGTGCACACACATATTTACATCTAAGTAAGAGACTTGTATGATTTATCTTTGTAAGTAAGCTCCACATAAGCTCTATTACTTTTGAATTGAGCCATTTTTCTGGATTAATCTTCATTTTTTTTTAAACTAAAGGGAATAATATGTGAACAAATCAGAGGAAAACCTTCAAAATCTTATGTACTGTAGCTACATGAATGCTTACCGTCCTGATGTGAAAAGTAGACCATTTACACCTCCAAATGTTGAGAGTGATACAAACACAGGTACAATCCAGGCCATCACACCAAAAACTTTATCTCCAAAAGTCTGAAAGTAAACAGTGAATACATTGTATTCAATGGTTTCAGAAAGGTATAAAGCTATAATAAAATCTGCAAGTAAAAATTCCAAAAGGGCTCTTGTGGGAAAGGGCTCAAATGTGAAAAGTTTTCTGTTTAAAGTTATTTGGAATACTTTATTTTTCATTAAAAAATTTTTTAGCTATGCAAACTTTTGAGTTCAAATGTAGCAGTTTTTAGTACATTGAAACTTGTGAATGCCAAATGCCTCCATGACTGAATATTTTATAGGGATCCCAGTAGTGTTTGAAGTTTAGTAAGGAATAATTAATGTTTGTATTCATGCAAGACTTCTAATTAGACAAGGTTCCATGTATACAATTTTTCTAAATTGTATAAACACAATTATTCTGAAGTAGCAGTTAACGTTTTATAATTGAATTGTTCCTATTCATAAACTATTTTTAAGGTTACTGTGGAATCATTATTATTTGTGGGATACAATTTTCCGTGGATTTTGTTGGTATATGTGAACCATGAATTTAAATGTTAAATTTTCTATAGGCTAATAATATGCAAACTTTGGCAACTCCATGACATCAAATATCCACGAAATTTTTTTTTTCCCTACATCCATGAAAATTGGTACCCACAAAAATAAATTAATCTTCAGTATTTTTGTATTAGTGTAAAAAAGACACAAAGTAAGCATAATTAACAGATGCTCCTGAAGACGAAACACACAAAATACATCAGATAGAAGATAGGTTTTGCTTATTTTCAATGTGCACAACTCCAGAATAGTCACGGAGGGTCTCTTCCTATATAAAGGTATATACATATGTGACGCTGGAATGGGTCCCTTTTTTGATACGTCAAATATATCAATGGGGTGCAATTTTACCGAGGATATATATCAATAGGTAGTAATTGACCAATTGTGATATATCAATGGGTCATAATTTTTCAGTTTGTTGTGCAACGATTTTCACTGAATTTCCCAAACTCTTTGTCATTAAAATTTCCACATCTGCTGAAACTGCACAACTGTACCCAAAATCCCATGCTGAGACACCCCCCCCCGTGAGAATAGTACCAGTCATCATAATACAAATCAAAGAGGCTGCTTGGTTTGAATATCCAATAAAATTTCTATCCAAGAAATTCTTCTTGATCTTTTGACAGAATTTATTCTGCACACACAATTTTACGATAGTATATGACTTGTAAGATATGTTTGGTTATAGGAAATATAGGAAACAACATACATGCTAAACATGCATTCAGTTGGAAATTTTTTAATTGGACAATCTCATACAATAGTTTGAAATTCTGGACAAAATCTCAACAAAAGTTTGTCCTTCTTTGTCAGACTTCTATCTCTGCCACACTTGTTTCTAACAATTTGTATTATAAATGTCAGTTACAAATTAAAAAAAAATCATAAATTTTTACTGCTATATCCACTTAAGAAAATATTCCTTTCCACTTTGACATAACTTGTGTTAACTGTTATTAAACTTATGTTTTGAAATCAAATATTCTAGGAAGATATCAATAGTTTTTAATAAATAGGCCTGTAATAATATAAAAAAAAAAGTAATTAGGGGCCTAATCAATCCTGAAATGGAATGAATCTCATATCAAAGAGTAGCAGAGAAGTTTTTGGACGAAGAAGGACAAAGGATTTAGTTTTGTTTAGATTGCAATGCAAACATTCAGTTGTCATGAAATAATGATTCTTTGGTTCATTACTTACAACAGCTACTGCATTAGATTCTAACATCTCCCGTGGTGAGATAATTGTCATGTAGGCGACGTTAGCCATGACGTACACAAAACTAACAATGGGGATTGATATATAAATTGCTCTTGGCAAATTCCTGCAAAAAAGGATAAAAATGTCATAAATACACATGTAGCATTAATGCTTTAAAATAAAACTTACAACAGCTACTGCATTGGAATCAAGCATTTCTCGTGGCGATATGATTGTCATGTACGCCACATTAGCAAAAACATAGACAAAACTGACAATTGGAATAGAGATATAGATGGCACGTGGTAAATTTCTGAAAGCACAAAATTGGGTAATGTAATACATGATTTTATTCAATAGTTATGCAAACATAGTGGCCATCTGTTTCTTTACAGATGTATATAGAAAAAACCCTTTCATTCTAAAATATTTTTTTTTTTTCGTTCCATAAAAGTTAGGAAATGGAATGAAATTTCTGGCAATTCAAAATTCTGTAAAAGTATATGAGGATGGAATTTGATGTCATTATTAGCATATTTCATCTTTTTTTTTATATGATTCTATATTATAATAGAATAAAATCATATTCCTTTCTTCTTTTGAAATCCTTACTGAACAATGGCAGATTAATTTGAATGTCAATAGTTGCTCAATCTTGAGTTTTCTTTGTTTAGTGGACCGGGTGGGGGCTTTCCATTTTTTTTTCTTTTGGCCATGGTATTGTCTAACTTTCTTCAACTAGTGGTTTTTGTACCCCCTTGGTATTTTCATATGAAATCAAACATTTTTATCCAAACAATGTGCAAACTTACTTGTATGGATCAATCATTTCTTCTGTTACAAAATTCAAGAAGTTCCTAAAATGAAAAGTTAAAGTAAATTATTTCAAATACCAAATACATTTTTTATAGAAAGGTACTGCGAGTTTTACAAGACTTGGTTTCAATGAAACTGCCTCTTTCAAGAAAATTAAAGAAACAATCAAACTTAAAAGTGTTTAATTGACTAACTCCATTGGTACCAATAGCCCATTCATAGATCATGTGCAGTAGAGGTATATTGATACCTAAACCCTTATTATAGTGATGATATTGATATAAATGGATACAGTCAGTACTGGTTAGGGGGAGGGGGCACTTACTATGTACTGTGCAGTAAAGATGAGCTGCTGGAAAAAGTCACTATTTCTAGCTTTCATCCATTTATCTCACCATGAAATTATATAATTATAGTTGTATTAAAAATATAAATGATAGGGTATCTATTTTTTAAATTCAAAATATACGAAAAGGTGGGGGTACTGGATATCTCAGGTGCTCATACCTACCATAATACAATCTATGATTGTTAGCAGCAATATGGTTCAAGAAAGTCACATTTTTCATCAAATTGAAAGTAAAAGGAGATAGAAATTGGTTGATAGTTACTTGAGTCTACTTGACCCTTAAATCTATAAGGGCTATTCCATTAAAATGTATGTGGGAGGGTAGGAAGGGACTTTCAAAATATCCCAACAACCAAGAACCATTTTTTAGATAATTTTGCATAATGGTAATAGAAGCATACTGAAAAAAGACCCATGACCCACATTCAATAATTAAACTTCCCTTCCTACCCTCCCACATACATTTTAATGGAATAGCCCTAAACTATTTCAGAAAAAGGACATGCATCTTTGTTATATCACTAAATACTAACCATCCAGCATAAGCAAATAGTCCAGAGTACAAAGCCAGTGACATTTTACCAACATCTGCATTTGTGTTCTCAAATGTAAAATATTCCACTTCACCTGTAATATAAATGAAATAAAATGATCAATTTTGCAAGATTTTTCTACATACACATGTATATCTGTTATAACACATCTTGCTTTAGGTTTGAAATTTATTATCCCTTAAATATTGTTTTTGTGTAATGCAATGTAACAGCTTAAAGAAACTTTCATTTTCATGAAAAAGTACACACTTGTAGCCTTTACTTTTTAGTTTAGTTTAATGGCCCAAAAATCATTTTTTCATAAAAATTCAATATATTTATAAGCTTGTAACTCGGACTTACTCCTTTATTAAAATAAGTGTTGCTGGCACTATTACATTTTCAATGGCCTTGGTCAGTGGGCTTGTGTTTAATCATTAATGCTGAAACTGTTTCCTCATTTTCCCCCAGAACAATCAAAATAAAGGAATTTGATTAATTTATCATACCTCATTCATAATTTCTCCATTATTGTAACACATGCGACAAAGAAATAAAAAGCAATATTTTCACAGGTTATAAATGAACTTGTCAACTTTTGGTTTATTTGTATTTCTTATATAGATTCTGAGCACCATAACATATATTGTGACTACAAACATAATAAAATCAATATTTAAATCATTCAAAAGAATGTTTTGTAACTCATAAAGTAAAATGCAGAAAGAATTCTACAATTAGGTCATAACATTATTACAAATTATAAACTATTGGTATTAATCCTTTTTCGAATCTAACAAAACTTCAACTTGTTCATAAGTCCTACATTTGTAAACAAAAAATAGGACCATCGTAAATTTTTTAATTGTCTTTTCCCAATTATAGAGTTAAATACAATCAATCAATAAATAAATCTTCAAGGAACAACACAAATAAAACAAACAATCAATGTTGGATGTGTGAGACTTATCCCCAAGATTGGTGGATGTATCATTTGTTCTTCCTTTTTTTATATGCAAGCTTTACAGGAAGACATGTCACCCTATCAGTATCAGGAAACAAAACTTTAAACTCCTAGGGGGCTGATCTTAACTGCTTGGTGTATTTTATATAGTTAAACATTGTAATTTCTATTTGCAGGAAACCGAGAAAGAAAAAAAAAACAGGCTAAGAATTCTGGATCAAGCAAGTCTAGTAACAAGAACAGTAAGTGATTTTTTTTTTCAGTCCTTTTTATTCACTTGCAGACCATTGCATGAAAAAGTAATGACAAACCTTTCATGTCCTTATTTCACACAGTGACAAGGCTATAAATAGAACTGTAGGAACACAGTTCACAGTATAAGCCTTAATCATATTGTGGATTCACTATTACTATTCATAGGGTACCAATTTTCAAAAATTTCATGGGTATCAGTGGACCACGAATTCAAATGCTCAACAAAGTACAAATTTTGTATAGGCCTGTATGCAGACTTTGGCAAAACCAAGAAATCATATATTTACGAAAATATAATTCCTCAATCCACGAAAATTGGTAACCATGAAAATAAATGAAGAGTATTTGTTTGCATAAAACTTCTTGGATATTTAAACATATCAATTATGGTGCAATGTGCTTAACTTATGTGTATCTTAAAACCTTTTGAAAATCAGTATGATAGACATTTGTACTTAATTCGCAAAAATATTGGGAAGGGAATTTAGTGGCAGAGTAGCTGTACACAGATCAATTTGTCTAATTACCATTATATTAAAAGACCAACTCTGAAGGGATGTATTTGATCATCGACTACCAGTGTGTGAGAAAATGTCAGTTGATCCACTAGGATTCTGGTTTCACACTAAGAATTCCAACTTCCTCAATCAATGGACCAAAGGAAACCATGGAAAAGTAGTCAGTTGTATAGAAATTGGGATAACATAGACCTTCAAGTAATCTTAATTCAAGAAAAGTTATACAATAGTATGAGGAAATCTGATAAGATTTATTATCTCTGCAGAAAATGAATTTCTTTATAAATATAGTCATTTCCTTTTTTTAAATATCAAAGTTTGAATAAACTGTTTTTCAGATTGACTACACTTGTTAATTCACTGAAGCATAGTAAACTTTTGCACTTATGACGTAAGAATTTACCTAACAACTTTAAACAATAAATATTTACTGACGTACTACAATCAGACCTTTAGACCTTTGCCATAATTTTTCTTCAAAGTACAAAAATAACTACACTATAGTTTAACAACCACAAATGCCACAGGTTAATATAAACATTAACATTATGGTCTCAAAATATTTTTCAAAAATTGTATCTAGTTAATGATCTTTGTAATGGATTATCCTATTTTGAAACCTAATATCTACTATACACATAAAATGGGAATAAAAATACATTGTGTATATTGACGTGAAAGTAAAATACTGATAATTTATTTATTTTCCTGGGTTCTAATTTTTGAGGATTCAGGAAAAATTGAATTGAATTTTCATGGATAATTGATTTCGTGGTTTTGCAAATGTCTGCATGCAAGCCAAATTCAAATACGAAATTCATTGAACATTTAAATTCCTGGTTCACCTGTTTCCACAAAATCCACAAAAATTGGTATCTTACGAATAATAGTGAATCTACAGTATTTATTAACAAGAAAATCAGGAAAAAACATACTATTCCTTGGCTTTTTATCACTTACTATAAAGTATGGGTTTTGCTCATTATTGTCGGCCATACAGTCCCCTGTAATTGTTTACATCTGTGTTCTTTGGTCTATGGATAGCTGCCTCATTGGCAATCATACCACATCTTTTTATTTTTATATTATCATTCATATACAATACTTACACTGAGGGACAACAAAACCTATTAAGGCAATAATTGTGTCTGCACCCATTATCCATTACCAGAATCTTATATGACCTTTGACTCACCTTGACCTATCATAACAAGACCAGTTAAGGTGATGATTATCAGAGCAAGTATCTTAGCAACTGTGAACACATCTTGTATCCTTGTGGCTGCTCTAACACTATACACATTAATGAAGGTTAGGATACCTGAAATATACAAATATTAAAATTTACAAACACCCAAGTTAATCTCTGAATTTGAATTATATAATTAAACATTAAGGCCAGCTTTTAATTGGTATATTACTTTTGAAGCTGTGAATAGATAACTCATAATTATATGATCTGTTGTAAATATCTGCAAAGCAATTTAAAAATATATATATTAGAGCTTCTTGCTCTCTGCATTTATTTTTCGATTTGTTACAAAGATTTCTGATAAACTCATTATTAGTTAAGATTGGACCATAATGCGAGTCCAGAACACTCTCAATCATTTGACTGATTAAAATTTTGAATGTCTGACATATATTTTCACTGGGAACAGTATGTCAATATATATGTTCCTGATTTTCAATAGAATTATACTATAAGACTGTTAAAATATATATCTTATTCGTCAGACAAATTTTAAAGTGTCAGTCCAAATTTTGACGCAAGATAAAACTATTTTCAAGAATTGTGAATAGAACAAGCTGTTGAATTTTGACCTGAAGTAAACAAGTTAAACCATCCCTCATATTCAAAAGCTTGTCCCAAGTCAGAAATCTCAGCAGTGGTTGTTTTATTCAATATGAATACTGTTTTTGTTGTTAAGAGAGTGGTTTTTTTTTATTTTCTATTCAATTTATTCACAACTTAAAGAATAGAGATATTAGGCTTGACACATTGTATAGAAACCTGTCTATTGTTAAAAGACTTATGTTGCCCTGTCAATACAATAGTATGAGGAAAACTAATAAGATTTATTCACTCTGCTGGAAATGAATTCCTTTATAAATATGGTTATTTCCTTTTTTTTTTCCTTAATAGCAAAGTTTGGAAAACTGTTGTTCAGAACAACTACACTCGTTAATTCACTGAAGTATAATACATAAATGCAATTATGACGTAAGAATTTACCTAACAACTTTTAACAATAAATATTTACTGACATACAATAGTCAGACCTTCTGTGCGTTTTGTTTGTTGGATATATTTTTCCCTTAAGTTGTTGTCTTTTTGATCTATACCCCAACATCTCCTTTCATCCAACTTCTGTACCAGATTTCTACTCATTTTTTTTATAATGCAATAACACAGAATGTAAACATAGTGTGACCTTAACATCTTTGTTTTGTTTTTTTCTGTTTAGATGATAAATTGTTTTGTTGTTAGAGATAGATACATGACTTGACCCAGGATGATTTACCAGCTGCAGCCACGGTCATGGTTATTACTTATATTTTTAGATTTAATGGTTAATTAATTTAATCTAAAATAATAACCTTACATACCAACTAACACGGTAAGGTTAGTGCATGGTGTTATTCAAAGTGTAAGACATTGCAGGAGCCCTACAGGTGGCTAGTAAAGTTTCTGATGCAGACAAAAATGGGCCATTTAATTTAATTGAGGTAAAGAACCAGAAATTTGTATGTCCAACTTTTCATCTTATTTCAAGACATTGTGTAGCAATGCTTTAGAAATTTTGTTATATTAAAGATTTTCTCATTGGCATATAAATTAAGGAACCCAAGTATGGGATGCCAAAAACATTCTGTTTCTTTTTCTTCCTTTTCGGACTTGCTAAAGTTTTTAGATTATAAAAAGCTCGCACCGTGATATGCACAAGTAAAGACTTTAATACATGTAATAATATAAATATAAGGAGATGTGGAAAAAATGTATGATTGCCAATGAGACAATTCTCAGCCAGAGACCAAATCACATAGAAGTTAACAACTATAGGTCACCGTACAGACTTCAACAATGAGCAAAACTAATAATGCATGCTTCAAAATATTCACAAGACTTGACAAGTGTCCTTTTTATTTTACAGATTTGTCTGCAAGAAAAGTACAAAAAATATCACAGCTTTGAAATGACATTACAAAAAAACCCTATATCTATATACAGATATCAAACTATTGAAAAAGTATAATGTTTACTTAAAACATGCATGGTACTGGAATTTGTAATTAAGTGATAACTTAGTTACCTCTGTCATATTTAAATTTGTAACATAGTAGTTTTATTTTCACATTTGTCATTTTGCGTCTCAAAATATGGTCACATTTGTCAAGTTGTGTCTCAAAATCTGGTCTAGTTTTATCCAATGTCACATTCTACATTCTCTGAACGAATTAATTTTCATTTCACGAGTATAAACAACATTTTTCTTTCTTAGATGAAACAAAAAAAAAGTGAATGTTTTTAAAAAAATAACGCTTTTATAAGGTATTGAAATTATCAATGATATAATGAATACTTCAAAATTTATTTAAAATTACATATAGAGATGATGAGGCACTAACAGTCAGACACACAACACAACTGAAATGATGTGACCAAAATTTAAAAAAAAAGTCATAAACATAGTCTTTGACTTTTTCTGTAGTTAGGTTGCTGTCTAATAAAAACCAACTTAAAATGTTTGTCATTGTTACATGTTTGTATTTTGTGTTAGTTATGTTATTTAAAAATTTAGTAACAATCCTACTGTTTAGACATGTAGATTTTAAACTGTATAAAAGAGCCCGTAGATGACCACCGTTTTATTTACTACGTCAGTGACGTCATTGTGATGAGAGATGACTCGTGTACAAGCTCAAAAGAATATTCATCGGCCGGTGAATAATAGGGGTTTTTCATCAGCCGTTAAGTAATAGGGTTCTTCATCGCTGGTTGCAAATATTTAGGGTTATTCGTCCTTCCTTGCATACAAATGGAATTTAACTGAATTATTCCATGTCACGTGATAATGTTTTACCCAATTGAATTGTTTATTAAATATGTAACCCTGGTGGTCTTGAGCTGTTATCTGCTCTTTGTACAGATTGTTGTCTCTTTGACACATTCGCCGTTTCCATTCTCAATTTCAAGGTATAATAGTAATAAATATATTTGATCTATCATTGATGTATACCCCACATCTAAATATTCATATCAATATATTGATAGATTATATTGTATCAGGTCATATTACAAGATGGTTCAAATTAAATCCAAAACTGGCAATCATAGGGTGTCCTAAATGAAAAACAGATGACCACAACACATGTTAAGGAGATTAAATATCTCAAGATAAACTTCAGTGATGCATGACAAGCATATTATCTTTTTTATCCTTGAGCATCTGATAATATAGATTGTAACCCAAATAATCCAGTCATATTTCTCTTACTGTGGAGGACACTGACCATAAGAAGTGATGCTGATAACATGATTGTTATGTACATGTATGTCATCGAATTAAATACATGTATCAATTTACAAGTAATCTTATAATTCTTATAATAATAATAAAAAGTGTAGATGTAATTTCATGAACAGTCTATTTTTGATAGGGATTTCACTAACATAGCAATCAATAACAATTCATTTCTTCACAAAAACAGTTGTTATTTTTTTTCCATTTGCATACCTTTTTATTAACATGCATATATATATATAATAAAACAAACAGATGTCACCTGATGGTATGTATATAACTTTTTTTAGTTGTTTGTTCTAACTTTTACATACAAAGTACACATATGGTTCCCTTTGGGGAAGTAAAGTCTAATTGGGTAAACAAAATTCTATGTATGCACATGAATTTGCAGTTAAATTAATAAGTCACCTAAAATAACCTCTATTTTCAATAATCTAAAATTTGTTTAATTCGAAATTGAATTATACTTTTGTTTGATAATAAAAAGAATTAAAAATTACCAAAATATGTAAACCTTTTTTTGGGTAAGTGCCATGTTTTGAAACAGAAATTAATGCCATACTGATCTGTTTTTATTTTAAGATAAAATTGTTTTTATACAATAGGAGTTACTTTTCCCTTTTTATCAGAGAGAAAAATTTAATAAAAGTAAACTAAGAAGAGTAACAGATGTTTCATCAACTTATTTTGTGTTTTTCATTATTTAATTTTCCCTGTTTGATCTTCACTTTAAACTTACCCTTAATACAAAGCATAGCTTAGGAGGTTAGGATTTTCTAATGATTCTTATGAAAACATGATCTTATTGATAAATGTTTATTTAAAGGAAAAAAAATAATAAACTGTACACCCAACAATCTTACAATTACTGCATACCCAATACATGCACAGTTAAACATGGTAAAAACACATTCAAATGTCAAAAACTTTTGAACTTGCAGACCTGTTAAACTTGGTACACAACTAATTTGTAATATCACAGGACATATTTATGACTAACGTGAATGGATAATTTTCAAAGCAAAATATCAACAAGTTTTGCTTTTTCATTCATTTGTTTTTTTAATTGATGCTAGATACATGTAACCTTAAATCAGTCAAACAGAAAAATGACCATATGGCACACTAGCAGGCCAAGGGAATTTCAATCAGGTTTTATTTGAAGATTGTATCTATATTGTAGCTCATATATAAAAAGTATGTTAATATTTCTAACAAATTCAATCAATACTATATATGTACAGCCAAGATGCAAAACCAGATTAACAAAATATTCTGACTGTGGTCTTCCTTTTTAGAATTAGTTTCACTCAATTTTCACATGTTTCATTTGGTAAAGCTTTGTAAAAGTCAGTCTAAATAGCCATAAAAACTGTTACAGTACTGAGTAGTTAATCATGCATATATTGACACATTTTTTTGCATTTTGTACAGAAGCAAGCTCACTACATAGATTTTCCTGCCAAAAATTAGAAAATTTAATGTAAGGTATGCAGCACTTTTTAAGTGTATGCATAAAAATATATTTTCCTGGGCTGCCATTATTAGAAACCCTATGAAAATGTGCCAAGGAATAGAAACAAGAGTACTGAAGTTAATAAAAACTATCCGATCTACAGTGTTTTGAATGTAAATTAATTGGCTGTCAAAATCTAGTTAAAAAGGTTGTGACAAAAAAAAGTCATTTTACACGCAAACTATACTAAAATCTCATGCCTAGTTGTCTTTAAGCTTATTGAATGGTAGACATTATATTTCTGTACTCCGAAATAAAAATAAGATTCTTAAAAGTGACCCATTTTGGGTCATGACAGATTTTAGTGGATGGAAGGATATAACTAAATATATATGTATAATACAAATGACCAGATTTCTTCCCATTTGGAGAGCACTTCCATATTTAAGTTAAGTTTTGCAGTAGCTAAAAAAAGATAAGAAATCTGATAGTGCTTCTCAACATTTAATTCAAAGCATTGTCATCCTTATGTTCCAAATCAAATCACACAAGTCAAAGAATAGACATCCATTTGTTCCAAACCAACCTACATCAGTACATATCTATCCGTCTTCATTTCTTAAATCACTACATATTACACCATTAGCATGATCAAGGTTAATTTTTTGTTGGTAATTATCTCATTCAAATTTCCACCACAACAAGCAATTTTCCATGGTCAATCTGTCATCTTCTGACAAATGAAATCCATACCTTGGGAATCCCCGTAGCTCTCTTATTGAGGCCACAACAATTCATTCATGGATTTTCCCACATCAAACGTTGACAGGTTCAAAATTTAAATGCAAATAAAAGAAGATTGTGTCCATGGGACACATATACCCCCGCTTGTAAATATATGGTAAATTCAGCAATTTTTCAATTTATAAAGGGACATAGCTCTAGAAGTGTTATTGATGCCACCTAAATTCGAATTTGATCTGTGTTATGTGGTAATAAGCATTGTACATAAGTTTCATAACATTTGGTCGAGGCAAACTAAAGGACATAAACACAATCATAGCCTTACTTCCTTCCATCATATCTTGTACATGTACTAAAAATTTTTTAAAACTTGTTGCTCACTCCCTTATTATTGTGAAAGTATATACTAATTCCAGTATTTTTATAAAAAAATCATTGTCACATGATTAAAAATATGTAGTTCCATTTATGGCATCTAACAATGGAAATGATATGACATTTCATTAAGAATCATATTCGAGATTTAGACTAACATGAAAAAATACATGAAAATACATGACCAACAAATGAGCTGCGTCAGATAGAAAATAGAAATCGACCTAATGCGATAGAATATCAATGCTTCTGTTTACTTATTTCGAGTTGAAAAATCTCTTTGCAAAGTCTTAAAGGGGCATAAGCTACGATATATAAAAAAAATTAAAATATGATTATCTTTTGTTCAATCATTAATGAAAGTGAAATAGTGAATTAATTTGCTTTAAGCAGCAAGTTTAGTTCAATTTTGTCAAAATAAGCTAAAAAACATCTCTGTTGAATCCGTATTCATGTGACCTTCACATTTAACCCTTTAGCTAGAGATTGGTTCTGCATGTATTAGTCGTGTTCAGTCATTAAAAGGAAAAGAATGTCAACATTGAAAGTGAAACAAAGGTGAACCATTTGTTGACTGATTCTAACACAAAAAATCATTCTTATACAGGTAAAATCGATGATTAACTTATTTTTTTAACCTATAACATGAAATCAAACAGACCTAGAAAAGTCCAATTGCATGAGGTCGCTTTCTATTTATATTTATGTTTATATCGGGTTATGTGTTCGTCGGCAGTCTTTGGAGGTCATCTAGATAGTTAATTAGATGGCATCTAGACTAAAATACACACGAAATGCTAATATATATTATCTGAGTCCATGCATTATAAATTGTTTATTTCAGACTTATTGTAATTTGGATATACGTTTTAGTATGTTATAAAACAAATACAAAAATAAATTTGAGTCAAATCAGAGAACATGAATTTGACAGCTAATGCCCTTTTAACTGTTTGAAAATTGATTTGATATAGGAACCCTACAAAACAGACCAAGTTTCATCTTTTATTTCGAGTTTGAATGCTCTGAAATCAATCAAAATCTTATACATGTACATGCAGACCAAGTTTCATCTTTTATTTCGAGTTTGAATGCTCTGAAATCAATCAAAATCTTATACATGTACATGTATACGGGCATTTGCACAAGGTCGATTACTATCCAACGCTGCTCAAATAGAAGGATTTTGGCTTTAAAACATTTAACGTCACACTTCATACTAATAATCACTCACAGAGCTCTTGACACTTTTTTGAAAGCCATTAAAACTAAAGAAAATCAACAATCTCCAAAGAACTTAAAAACGATTAGATATGGCCTGAACTATCGAAAACTGTCAAATTAGGACACTCTATCAAATTTCAAAGTTTTTGGTCAAGTTTTTTGTTCAGTTTCATAAATCACAGATAAGAAAGAAGATGTCATGTCAAGACTATATAAAAGACATTCATCTCTCTTTGTAATGCCTTATAGATATCAGTCCCCTATTTAATACTTGCCTACCCATGCTAGACTCTAAGATGACCTGATAAAATTTCTACCTTTTTTCAAATGTTTTTTTATTCACTTTTTTATGTAAACTTATGAGTTCATTTAAAAGTGCTATTTGTTTTCTATTCATATTTTTATGAGCTCATTTTAAATGTGTTATTTGATTAAAATTGTGATTATTTTATTCTTTGAAGCTTGAACGTTTAATTTGTCAATACCAACACATTTTTTTTCAAACCACAAATATGGGTTCTTATGAAAATAAAATGATTCCACAATATATTAATCCTTGCTCATTGAAGGCTGTACGATCATCTTAACCATTGGGGCACATCACATTTTTCTGTTTCAATCAAATTCAAACTGATATAAAAAATTAACCATCCCCAGCAAAATTTAGAGCTCTTATGTATGCCTTTTTGATTGACAAAGTCCATATATTGTTGATTATTTAAGGAGAAATGTGCCAATAAGACGCACAAAGCTTAACTATTTTTTTACTCTTCAACTCTCCTTCCTGTCAAATAATACTTACTTATGCAAATAGCAGCTAAAAATCTTACAGCAATCTTTGGTGGATCACATGTCTCAAATCCTGGTTGTAATACATAGTAAGCAAATGTCAAAGATACCACAGCTTGGGCAGTAGGTCTGATGATTATAAGGTTAACCTGAAAAATATGGATTACAGATCATGCTGAAGCACCTTCAAATACAGTCCAAATAATTATGACATTTTTGAAGCCTTTTTTAAGCTTTTTTTATTTTTGCTTTGATGCCTTCCTGGCACTTAAATGGGGGATCTATAAAATTTAAAATAGCAAAAATACCCTCAGAACAAATCATGATTATCTTTATTTCTTAACTAAGGTTTTTCTCTTTATTTTTTAATAATGCATAGCTCCTAGATATCTGGATATACTAGAACAATGTTTCAAACAACAAAAATTATTTGATACATCTCTTCTGATAACTAAAACTAAGAAAACAGACATGTGATTACTGTCAAGAATTAGAATTTAATATGAAAACTATCTTAAAATATCCATAAATGTAAGAATATCTTAAACAATTAAATTATACAAATTATCTTTTTTGAAACAATGTGATTCATTTTAATATTTTTCTCTAATTAATACGAGAGTAAAATACCTTCTATCAAAATTATGTTGAAGCCAATCTGATTAAAATACAGAACCTGTGTCCAAGCTTTGCTTAAAAGGATCTGAAAAAGCTCTGTTCTACTTTCTGTTTTAAAGACCTTTCGGGATCCTTTGTTTTGTCAGATTATTACACACCTTCATAGATTTGAAGGCTGAAGTTTCATTGGCTGAAGATATAATTACCAAAAACAGAAAGAATAACAGAGATTTGTCATGATCAGATCCTTGTAAGTAAAGCTTGGATACAGGATCTGGATTTTAATCAAATTGTTGTTTAAGAATTAAATAAAGGGTTATAAAATATACCTAGCCATATAATATATATATATATATATATATATATAAACAAGTCTAAATTGAAAACAACGTTCAAACCTATGATTGCGTTGGATAAAAACCGCAATTTTTATACTGTGCATGCAAAACAAATTTCTTGGTAGAGTGGTCTAAATACAGCACAAACAACATTTTCCAAAAGACCAAAAAAGTGAAAAAGTGTATTTTAACAAAACGCAATTGACTAGCAGGTCGAACAACGGATGTTCTTAAACCCTGCTGACTGCCATGGCGATTGCCAAATAAACAGATCACCAGATGTAAAAATGGATCTTAATTTATTAATAATATACCAAACAGAAAACAATAAACTTGCGGAAAAGATGGTATACCGCAAACATAAGGTGCAAAAATTTGTACACCATATCCGGATTTCGACAATAAATGTCTCTTCAGTGATGTTAGGAATCGAAACGGTATTTGAAAGGCCATATAATTTACCTCAATTTGGGATTGACTCTTGAATTTTGAAGAGTCAAAATAGGATGAACGGATCATATAAACCCGAAGGCAAATATAATACAAGCCCAAACAAAAAAATATAAACAAGACTAAATTGAAAACAACGTTCAAACCTATGATTGCGTTGGATAAAAACCGCAATTTTTATACGTGTGCTTGCAAAACAAATTTCTTGGTAGAGTGGTCTAAATACAGCACAAACAACATTTTCCAAAAGACCAAAAAAGTGAAAAAGTATATTTTAACAAAACGCAATTGACTAACAGGTCGAACAACGGATGTTCTTAAACCCTGCTGACTGCCATGGCGATTGCCAAATAAACAGATCACCAGATGTAAAAATGGATCTTAATTTATTAATAATATACCAAACAGAAAACAATATACTTGCGGAAAAGATGGTATACCGCAAACATAAGGTGCAAAAATTTGTACACCATATCCGGATTTCGACAATAAATGTCTCTTCAGTGATGTTAGGAATCGAAACGGTATTTGGAAGGCCATATAATTTACCTCAATTTGGGATTGACTCTTGAATTTTGAAGAGTCAAAATAGGATGAACGGATCATATAAACCCGAAGGCAAATATAATACAAGCCCAAACAAAAAAATATAAACAAGTCTTAATTGAAAACAACGTTCAAACCTATGATTGCGTTGGATAAAAACCGCAATTTTTATACGTGTGCATGCAAAACAAATTTCTTGGTAGAGTGGTCTAAATACAGCACAAACAACATTTTCCAAAAGACCAAAAAAGTGAAAAAGTATATTTTAACAAAACGCAATTGACTAGCAGGTCGAACAACGGATGTTCTTAAACCCTGCTGACTGCCATGGCGATTGCCAAATAAACAGATCACCAGATGTAAAAATGGATCTTAATTTATTAATAATATACCAAACAGAAAACAATAAACTTGCGGAAAAGATGGTATACCGCAAACATAAGGTGCAAAAATTTGTACACCATATCCGGATTTCGACAATAAATGTCTCTTCAGTGATGTTAGGAATCGAAACGGTATTTGGAAGGCCATATAATTTACCTCATATATTTATATATATATATATATATGTATAGCAGCAAGAAAGCAAGACAAAGGGTTTTAAAATATACGTACCCATAGCTGTAAGAAAGCAAGATAAAGGGTTCTAAAATATACGCAACCATAACTGTAAGAAAGCAAGACAAATATACGTACCCATAGCTGTAAGAAAGCAAGACATGGACCAAAGGCATCAAGGATATAAGCATAGTCTCCCCCTGATCTGGTGATAGTTGTTCCTAACTCGGCATAACATAGGGCACCAATTAATGACAGAAATCCACACATAATCCATATTACTAAGGCTGCTCCAAACTACAACAAAAAAAATCTGTTAACTCATTTCCACAAAAAATATTGTTAAAATTGCTGTCATGGTTGTTCATTTGCAACAAAAATGTTTTTTCATTATATTTCATATATAAAATATATTTACTTTTTATTCTATATTAAAGATGGTGACATCCTTTTTTCAAGGAAATATAACTGGAAATATTCATTTCATGTTTGTTTTTGACATGTACAACCATAATTATGAAGATTGTGACAATTCTTCTTTTATTTACTTTTTTAGTATGCAAAATGATTTTTTATTTTATTTGTTTAGGAGTAGATCTAACTCTTTAAAATTTTATTTTATATATTTTTCAAATTTCCTAAGACTAAGTCGCAACCCTTTGACAGCAATTGAGTTCACACATTTTTAAAGCAGGCATATAAAAGATTTATGGAAGATAGCCCTTATTACTTAATCTTTAATCCATCCATGCATCAGAGTAACACAGGATAACGCTGGATTATTCAAAGCTTAAGGCCATTTTACTAGTTACATGTATGTTCTCAATGTAAGCAAATGAAATACATATTCATAATAATATAGATTTTATCACATTGACGAACACCTGCTGACTTTATTGAAACATTGCATCATCATATTAATTGTTCAGCAATCATGAGTTTCCCCATTAACACTATTATCATGTATTAATTACATATTTATTACACATAAAAATCACTTAATATACTTTTCTTCGAAACAGAAATATACTTGAATATATATATATATATATATATATATACAGAAAAAATGGTAAAATTTGTACTTTTGGTCTAGACATCTAGATGTCACACCATGTCGAGATTGTTTTGAACATGTAGTTTGGTGGTTCTTTTTTTATTTGCTTTCTTTGATGTTGGTGTATATAATAGTTTTTACTGTTTCACTTTAGTTTTGAGCTCAATCGGAAGAGATCGTTTCACTAATCACATACAGACACATGTTCATGCAGTCAATTTGTCATGAGACATACTAATTAATTATGACAGATGTGTGGTTTTGACGAACAAATAATAAAACTGTCTTTTTAGGAGGACTCATTTCTTCCTGTACTAGTACTGTTTACTACCATTTAATGGTCAAAATTTCAATTCTCAAATATCATGAAAAAAATAATTTGGTAAAAAAAATATTTGGCATGAAACCATAGAAATTTTTCAAGATCTGCAAGATACTGAAAAGTTTTAGAACTCAAGAAAATAATGACTGCCAGTCTTAGCGTTTGACTGTTACACCATGTGGAAGAATTATATTGACTTTTACTTCCCAAACTGTTCCATGGTTATACTATTATTCAATGTAGGTCCGAGGAAATTTCTTTTCCTGAACTAAATTTGTCTTTTCCCTCAAAAACCATCTTTAAACAATCAAACACAGCTACCGGTAAATGGGAATTTCTAAACAAAATAGTTGATGTCCAAATTGGCTTCTAAAATAGGAAATTGATCTGTCTGCCTCCTATCTCTCAAAGAATATGTCCTTTAAAACTAATTGCTTAAATCTTTCCTTTATCCAGCATTCAAATAATTCATATGGAAAACCAATACAGTTTTAAGAGTAGAGGGGATCTAACTGTGGAAATACATGTAAATCTTCTATTTTGAATGTGAGCTAACGTCTTAATGATGACTATTTTGATAAAAAGATGTTTTATTAGAATTGTTTTGGGTAAATTGTGTACCAGTAATAACAAACACTGTCTGGTACTAATTTTTCTTGTATTTCACAGCTTACTGAGTTATAAATTCCCCACCGATATGATAATTATGAATACCATTGTGACCCTCCTCAGTTGATGTTTTTAGACGACAATCACCATGATCCAACATTGATTTTGGATTATGAAATGCTCTATATATGTAGATGACATTTCATTCATGTAAACATTTATTATCTTTTAATATTCATTCCAAACAATTTGTTGATTTGGCGTAGGAGCAAAAAACGATAAATGGCCTTACAACATTAACGAAAGTAAAGAATCTGACTTCAAAAGAAGAAAAATAATCATTTAAATGAAATGTCCAATATATCTATAGTGAAATCAGAATTTAGCATGTTAAATAATTGTTGTGAATTTCTATATCTGAGAATGACAAATGGATACAAATTCCTATACATGTTGTAGTATTTTATACTAATGAAGTTAAGACGCAAGTTATAATTAATACAATGAATTTTCTGTCACATTTTGCATAATCTAATTCTGCAATCATCTTTTAAACCCTATGCCAATAACTAAACTGGACAAGAAATGATATGAATCATCAAGATATATTTCTGTTGCAGCTACAATTGAAACAAGCTCTTAAAAAAAATTGTAAAAGTCTGCAATTTATTGAAACTCTAAAATTGAAATGTTGACAAAAATGAAACTGACAAAAATTTGCTTGGGTGTGATCAAATAAATACCAATGAAAAACTGTTAATCAATTAAGAATGGTACTTCTGTCCTCAAGGATGAAAAAAAAATATTACATGCTATTTTAAGGATAGAGATCCAGAGATTATTTGTGCAAAATATTTTGAATCTGGTTCTGAAGCTTATTCTTGTTTAACGGCAGGATTTTAAGCAGCATTTATTCAATCATAATCTTGCTTTAATCTTGCCATTAAATACCAACATTTAAAACACAACTTTATTTCGGTTTTTATTACATGTACATAATTTCTTAAAATATAAAAATCCCTGGAGTCCAAATGGGTGACACTGAAATTATGTGCAAAAATTGCCACTGAGAGTCTGTTCAGTGGCTTACGCAAATGTACTTTTAAAAAGTTGAGAAAAATCTAATAAAGTCAATAAAAACTAATTAAGACTTTAACAGAAAATAACAATATAAGCCACAAACTACTTTAAAAAAACAACAAGAAATTAATAAATTCAACTACACAATTGTGGTTAACATTGTTTTCCTCGATAAACAGAATGTTTCCTTTTACCTTTTACGCTTTGTGGTAATTTCACTTTGTAGATAAAAGGTCAATAAAAATTTTATTAGATATTGCATCACCATGTCAAAAATGAGAGTTAATTTAAAGCTTCTTATTACATCATGAACATTATTCTAATCAAGATGTTGACATTAATTCCATGCACATGTTTGTTGTTGCATCATCAAATCATAAAGGGGATTTCCTGAATTCCAGAGTTCCCTATTAACCAAGGCATGATTGCATCAGCATTATAAGTTTCCTGCCCACGACTCAATTATTCCTTGAACTCTTTATTCAAGTGCTTTTTGTTTTGAATAGTACTTAGTAACAGTATTATGAGTAATATTGATTTAGTACAGATTTTTACACTTGAATTGACATTTTTAATAATAGCCCAAAGGAAATTGTTTTGAATAATCGGTGTTGCGGTTCATGATTATTTGGGCGACTCTAAAAATTGATTTTAAGCTGAGGATAAAAAGTTAAAAGGGTCACTACTAATCCATCCACTGTACAAATATACACATGTAATGACCATATTGATCAGATTATGCCATTAAAAAAATGTTCTGTATTTAAGGGGTTGTCTTGATTTTTCCTGTAGTGCCATTATGTTCAATACATGAATTATTGCTATAAAAACAATTATTGTTGTGAAGTGTCACAGATGTTTCCCCAATACCCGCTAGCCTTTTTTTTAATCATGATTAATGATAATAAAAATTATTCTGTGGAACCAGTAAATATAATTTTATTTATTAAAATGGTATCTTTCATACGCATATTGCTTTTGATGTAGCCTGGATCTGTTTATAAAATTCACAGTGGAACCGTAATCAAAGAACCATCAGAGATATACAGTTTCATTATAAAAATTAAGAGTAATGTTGAGATGGCCAATGAGATAACATATTATTAACCAGAAACCAAAGAACAAGGTTGGGCCTTCAACCATGAGCAAAACCCATACTGTATAGTCATCTGTAAAAAGCCCAGGATGACAAATTGTGAAACAATTAAAGAGAGAAAGCCAACTGCCTGATTTATGCTAAAAACAACAAAAGATAAAAAATATGGCATATAGCAACCAACAAAAACCACTGAATTTTAGATTCCTGACGTGGGACAGACACATAAAGAACGTGGCAGGGTAAAACATGTTTGTGAGCACTTAATCCTCGCCTTTACCTGAGACAGTAGTGTAACAGCACAAAAACAACATAAAGATGTCAGTATTTGTTTTATACTTTGATTATACTTACAGCAGTTAATTTAATATGCAGGAATTTTGCATACAGAAGCCATAACATACATCATAAAGCATAACACCTTTGATGCTCAGGTACAAAAATGCATATAATCATAAAAAATTATGTAACTGATGTTTCAAGATGCCTCAATCCGTGACAACTGCAGACTAGGTTGATACTAATCCTAAAAGTGCATCACAACAACATTATCTTTTCTATAACACCAAATAACAGTTACACTAATATAACACATTAAAGAATAAATCTAAGAGAACCCACTATTATTTTAGAAAGAACAAGTGAAACTGCGAGCTACTGCTCACTGATGATACCCCCAGCCCAAATATGCATTTGTTGTTGAGTGATGAATCTGAAAACGCATCACACGGTAGAGCTGACTTATAGAAACCCTGAAACCAAATTTCAGAAATCCTTATGACATGTATGTTGTAGTTCCTGAGAAAAATGCAACAAAAAATATTCATGGGATGGACGGACGGACAAACAGAAGTAAAACAGTATACCCCACTTTTTTAAAGCGGGGGTATAAAAATCCAATTCAAATTGATTATTCTAATGAAATAATGAAGAATGTCTTCATGTAATAACTGCACTGAGCTGTCAATCAGACAGATATCAATTAAAACAGACTGAGACTGCAGAAGAAATCTTGGTCTGTCAGAACAATGATCTCAAACTCAAAAAATGGAAAATGTGTTATTAATCAGTACAATATTTTTTAATTGAAATTAAACAGCGGAACAATATGATGTATTCTGTTCTTCTTTAAAAAGTGAAGCATCCACTAATGAAGTTCAATCCAGTTCATTCATACTGCCACTATTATAAAGGTCAAGGTCAGGTTTAATAATAACCATTAACATCAAAGACTTGCAATGACTGCACTAAAGCTGTGATCAAAAGGCATATGAAGAGCATTCAGGGTTTAAATTTAGATCAGCCTCCTTCTTGCACTTAAAGAAACTTTATTTTTAGGAAAATCAAATAGTTGAAATTACATGTATTCTTTTTCTCAAAAAGCCAAGTATGTAGTTGTGAAGTTCAATCGGGTTCATTAATACAACTGAACCCTATTATAAAGGTTAAGATAGCCATTATCATCAAAGACTTGCCATATTATACAGCTGCCATCAAAAGACTTAGCTAATTTTAGTTTTTATACCATTTTCTCTTTCAAGGACATAATAGTTATCATATCTCAGACACAGTAATGAACACCTTCAGTCACCTCTGTGCTAATTAATAATATTTTTGCCTTTTTTTTTTTAATAAATCTTGTAAAAAAAATATAGGAATATATACTTTCAAAATTGATCACCATGTCATTATTTAGTGAGTTCCTTTTAACCCTATAATTTGTTTTCCAGAGTCAAGTGTTGTATCAAGACATGTTATAATTATCTTTTTGTTTAGCTGTACTTCAAGTTAGATTCAGTTGTGATATGAACCCCTTCAAAGCATGATAATTATATTTCTGCTATATTTAAGTAATCTTGTTTTCTATGGATAAGGCCTTAAAAAGGTGGAAGATTTACTGTTTTACACCACCTTGCTCAATTTTAATAGACGTTTGTGAATATTATCCTTTACGCCACAAGGAACGATTTCCGAAACTATGATGTTTTACAAGTTACATTGTAGTAAGATTAAAATTTTTAAGGTTTAGCTTAATACCTTGCTCAATTTAAAGCACATCTTTTCATATTAATATTTTTTTTGTAACTTTAAAAAACACTACTTAAATAATTTGTTTATTCAATAATTTGTGTTGTATGTTTATACATATTTATTAATTATACACAATCCATTTAGTCCATGAATTTACAAAAGATATATATATTAATTTATTTATTGTGACATTAAGTGTGAAAGTGGACATTTATAAGAAATATATAGCCATGTGACTGTCAACAATAATTATTGTCAGAAACTTAACAAGATTGATTAATATTTTCAAAGCTAAAATGGGGTTATCCCTTATAAATAAACCTTTGCCTGTGGTAGAGAAAAGTGAAATGGACTAATGCTATTTCCTGCTAAATTTGATATGATATAATAATTAATAAATAGGTCTTAAAGGATTAAGTTGAAGTGCTATAACATATATATATGACAAGAATATAATACAACATGTAATTTTGCCACCTGGCATCACAGTAGTTAATCAAATTATATGTGATATATCCTAAGTTTTTTTCCCTGTATAAAACAATTACATATATTAAAATAAAACAAAAAACAATACTTCTCACAAAAAGCACCTGTATGACATATGCTTTGATGTATGGAGTTTGATTGGACAGTGCTATTTTTGTCATCCTGAAAATATAATTATCAAATGAACAGCAAATTCCATACTGTTGCACTAAATGTATTTGTGGTGATCTTTTGGAATCAGAGTAATGTCCAACAGAAAAAGAAACAAGAATGGTGATAAAGAAAAGAAGTCTTTTTAGTTTGTTAATAAAATAAATAAATATTTTTACAGCATCAGATAAAATTATTATAAAGGAACAGATTTTAAACAAACATTTACCATACATGTATATGAAAGCTACATCTTAAAAATTTCTATAATTTAATTAGAATGAAGCATTTTATTTTCTTTCTGTAAAATGTATTATTTAAAGAACTTTTTGTGTTTATAACAATAACAAACGATCAACATAAAATCTTTTTTTTTTAAGAAAAACAGATTTTTCAGCATTTTGTTTGTTTGAAGTTCTGTGTATATAAAAAAACACGTGGATGTTGTTTACTTACCGACCCTGCTTCAGCTAGTACACCTTTTGGCGAAACAAAAATACCAGATCCTACAATCGACCCGACAATAATAGCGACACCATTGAATAACGTAATTGTTCGTTTTAGTTGAACTTTTTCATTGTCTGATCCTTCTGAACTTGTGTCCAGCGCTTTCTTTTTCATATTGTCCACCGTCATGTCTGTTTATCAACACACCTTCCGTGCTCGTGTTTTGAAACTGAGAGACTGTAAACATGGAGTTGCTTCCCCTTTATTTTATGGTCGAGTTCATCATGAAAGGGTATACAACGTTGTGGTCTGGTTTGAATATACATTATTTCCAAAATGTATATCGATTTGGAAATTATTCAGAAAAGAAATTGACAATATAAATACTCATACGTTGACTAATTGGTCAAATATAAAGAAGACCCTTTCGATTTTATTGACAATTCTATCCTGACAACCCTAATTCGAGTAAAAATTCAAAATAATATTGCATCATACAGTTTCATTCATTTTTTTCGTGTCTTGTTTTCAGAAAACAAATCATGCACATCCTGTTTCTTCGTAAAAACTTGTTGAATGTTTCAGTTTTCTTTATGGTATTCAAAATGTCCTGACTTATTTCTTCAGATTAAAATTTCATAAAAAAAAATCATTTGCTATATATGTTTGTTTTTGTTTCTGTCGCAAACTAAATGTGCTTATATGACAATAAAGATAATTTAAAATCTATTTTAATTTATTTATTTTATTGCCAAAGGGACTCGGTTAGCGGATATATTTTATTTTGGTAGAGTTTATTTATTTTTTACCAAAGGAAGACGGTTAGCGGATACAATTGTTTTCATCATTGTTATTGTCAAAGAGAGGCGAAAGATACCAAAGGCACATTCAAACTCATAAATCGAAAATAAACTGATAACGCCATGGCATAAAAAGAAAAGAAAAAGACCAAAAGACAAACAAGAGTATACAAAACACAACACAGAAAACTAAAAACTGTCATAATTATAGTCTTATCAGGACACAAACCATTTCTACACTACCAAGATATAAAATACAAACATTATTATCAGGTAGTGAACTCATCAGTGATGAGGAAAACGAAAATATTTTTAAAGTTGTACAAAGTTTTATTTTAGAAACAGGGAGATTTGGTTTATAAACAATTATTTTTATGTCGATTTAGATGTTGAAAACTTTAATTTAATTTACCTTATTTTCAAACATTTACCGCATGATACTTCACAGCTACATGGGAGACCACAATCATAAAAAAGATGAGTTGATAATATTTTTCGATCAAACTGACTTCTGAGTAACGGGCAAACCACCGAATAAACATGTAATGTGAATTGAAATTTACATTATACGAGCTTCTTATACTATGTTCCTAATTTTGTCATTTTTTAAAGGGAGACGGATTTATATAAGTTATTCTTGTTTCCGAATCCCAGAATTTATATTGTATAATTGTATATTGTGCACTTTTGAAATAAAATATTGTTTAAACTAAAAACTGAGCAACACGAACCCCACAATAAACCGGGGGTGATCTCAGCCGGTGCTCCCGGGAAGGGTAAGCAGATCATCAGTCCTGCTCCACGTGTGACGCCCGTCGTGTTACTCCTATATTTTCGACGAATGGTGACGATCAGATGAAAATGAAGCAAATAAAGGGTAAACCCAACACCTAATGAACGGTCCACTTTAATATGTTAACAATAATTATTGGGAAAAACGGACACACGTGGACTATATAAATGATAAAATATGAAATATTACAGTTCTTCTGATGTATATTATAAAAGAGCATATCACTGATGAAAAGCGGCGTCATGATCATGGGCAAATGTCCACTAAATACGAATAGGAAAGAAAAAGACATGGACGATCATGCCCCCTCTTCTCTGCATGCCATATGCAGGAGTATAGATCCACATACTTTAGATTTGACAAATAGTGATGTTGAAGTACAGCTAGATTGTTGGGCTGTCTGATAGACACAAATGATGCCCCCACCAGACCTTAAAAAATTATAAATTTAACACTATGTATGATGATCTATCTTTTATTTTTATTCTGAATGTCTACATTTGCAGGACTGAATGTCCAGCCTTAATGTTTCGACCTTACAGTTATAGTAGTCACCAAGTTCAACTTTCTATTTCCAGTGGTCACCGGACCAAGTTCAACTTCCTGGTATTGATTAAATTAATATTTGACAATACTAAGAAATCTTATGTATTGCATTAGGGACATTAAACTGTAGTAGTGCAAACCATGTTTTCAATTATATAGCAAGTAAGAAGGAAACGAAGTCCAACTACCGTTTTTTTGTGAATATCTAACCGTGACCCCCCTTTCTGACTTTTTGTACAATACAAATGACTAGGTCCAATTACCTGGCATTTTGAGAATATTTGAAAAAAAATCAAAATCCTGTGGACATGCACACTTCCATTATGTGTACAAACAATCTACAAAATATTACAGCTGTAGCTCAAAAAATGTAGGAGGAGATAGCCGGGCAAACTATTATCTATTTATGCAGCTAGTACCATGCAAAAATGACTAATTCCAAATACCTGGCATTTTGAGAATATTTGAAAAAAAATCAAAACCCTATGGACATGGTCACCTTTATTATGTTTAGAAACATCCTACAAAATATTAAAGCTGTAGCTCAAACACTGTAGGAGGAGATAGCCGGACAAACCTGGTACTTATATCCGGACAGACAGACAGACGGACGAACGGGCGGACGGACAGGGATAAATTAATAGGCCCCTCGACAATTTGACGCGGGGGCATAAAAGTAAAAAGATATTAGATACAAATGTCTTAGATAGGATTAGATAAGAAAATATATTTTATTGGTTTAAAATCCAAAATTATAGGATTGATACCAAATTTGACAATAAACATTGGCTATACATAAACATACAAACACATATCTGTCAAAATTTACATACAGCGTATATATAAATTTGTATATCCCCTCTATTATTTAAAAAAAAGAAATATTGTAACATTAAAATATATAATTATATATGTATAATCTAATCTCCGCTGATGAGATTGTTAAACAAAGTTATTTATTACTTAATAAAGCATTTCTAGAATTATACATGTCACTAATGAATTTTACAATAATTCTAATTGTATCATTTTCATGGACCACACTTATACAAACATTTAAATCTTGCTTCATTAGTCATATTTAAAAAAAAAAGAACTATTTAACTAATTTTAGAAAAATAATTGTTCTCTAATTGTATTTAGTTTTGTACAATTTATAGTGAAATGAAATTCATCTTCTAAAAGACACAAGGGACAAATTTTTTCTTCTAAAAGAGTTTTAGTATGTTGACCTTGTTCAATTTTAAGAAAACTATTACTTATGCTAATTTTGGCAAAATGTCCTTTTACTTTTTTGTCACTGCTTAACATTAACATGTCTTATGAAAGTTTACGTTTGAGGGTCTAGATCTGTGACCAAAAAAAAACATAAAAAACCGGGCAAATAAGATACGATTTTTACGGTTTGAAAAAGATACTAGCAGAGAGCAAACAAATAATCATGAGAGGAAGACATCATCATGGCCAACAGATAAAGATAAAGAGACGAAAAAGACAGACATTAGTCCACAAAACATAAAAAAAAAATATGGAGCAACAAGAGTCTCGCCATAAAACAGTAGTATATGCAGGAGGTCCCAAAATGGTCGGAAGTTCCGGCTCACCTTTTTCAAGTGATGTTATCCGATTAATCATAGTCGGTTATAAATAGACTGAGGCAGAAGATACTACAGGTACAATCAGAAATAAATAGAAAAACAGACAATATCATGACTAAAAAAAATCAATGAAAAGACAAAACACTACACAGAACACTAGACTGAGCACCAGGAACCCCACCAAAATCCGGGGGCGATCTCTGGTCCTCAAGAATGCCCTGGTAAGTGTGAACAGATCCTTCTCCACTGGTGACACCCGTCGTGTTGTTCTTGGCTAGTGAATATTTGTCCGCGAGAAGTCGCAACTAGGTATGGCATAATCAAAGAAAAGATGACGGGCTGCGGCGACGACAGTTATAATTGTAACGTATCCCTGGTCAGCGGTGGCACAGATATTCCATAAAGGTCTACCAAAATCATGACGGCGTCTATGAAATTTTCCAAAGGATGACTAAACTTGTTTTAATCACTTATATCTATAAATATGGATGTTTAAAGGAGTCATTATTGTGATCACTCAGGTGTAAGGGGAACAACTCTAAATGAAAAGAAAATTGAGAATGGAAATGGGGAATATGTCAAAGAGACAACAATCCGACAAAAGAGCAGACAACAGCCGAAGGCCACCAATGGGTCTTCAATGCAGCGAGAAAATCCCGCACCCGGAGGTGGTCCTCAGCTGGCCCCTAAATAAAAGTATGTGCTAGTTCAGTGAAAATGGACGTCACACTAATACAGTGGAGATACTATTCTGTACGCTATCTGGAAGTCGCGATTTTCGAAGCGATGATTTCCAACTGGCTTACAGGACGGTTTTACCTACGGTGACTTTTCTCATCATTTGTTTACTCCTATATCTATAAAGTGCTTTGAACATCTTCAAGGTATGTTTACTGTATAGCATCATAAATATGAGTAACTGTAACAAAAACATGCATAAGAATATAAAATATACGTGTGCATCACACCAACTTGATAGAAAAAAGTGAAATCGATGGACAATTTTGCTCTCGTAGTACAAAGCAAATAATCTTTTAATGCAAATATTTGCATCAGTTTACAGTTAAATATATACTGTTTCAATATTCGTTTCGTATTTAAGTAGAATATTCGTATTTCCCATAAAAAAATATGTTTTCCTTGAGGATCCCAAAATAAATTACTGTACGATCAGTCTAGATCTGACTGTATTCTAGAAGCGATTTCAGAATTTTTGACTGTATGACCAGTCGTGATTTTGAAAAAGAAACAACGGCAATTTGAAGGTATATACGTGTCTATGTGATATTATGAACTGTCCAGGGAACTTTAACGTGTAATTTCTTTCATCAGACAATACAAATATATTTCTGATGATTTTTGTAGACGGCATTTGTATGGGAACATATATTTGGAATCCCTTTTCTCCTGGATTGGACCCCCTCTCCATTTAAAAATGGCTGGAACCCACAATGTATATATTAAGTGGTTTATGAGGAGATGCACTTACAAAACCGACGAAACATACTGTACCGGTCC